AACACTCACTGTTTTCATTACTGAATGATTCAGCGTTTTGAACGAATCGATTGAGTCAAAGATTCAATGACCCATTCATAAACATCTGTCTCAATCTTGAATGAATCAGCCGTTTGGACAAATCGTTTGAATCATGAATGAATCAATGACTCACTCATTAAGACGGTCGCCTGCCGCCACCACCTGGCGGTTTGTGTTATGTTTAAAAGTAGATCATTCTTTCTAATCGTTTCTAATTTGTAAATTTAAATCTATTTCATGACATTATTTTATGCAATTGTAATTTTTCAGTGTAAATGATTTAATTTGATCAGCCCTATAGTGTCTTATTATTCGAAATAATTTAATTTATTGATCAAATTTAGGAATTTAAAATGAAAGATGAAGCATACATTTAATAATATTAGGGGAGGGGATGCCCTTTAAAGGTGCAAATATTACAATATGCCGATTTAAATATCAAAGCTAATTGAACACTGATGAGAATATTGTTTCAGAATAAATTAACAAAAAAAAAAAAAAAAAAAATTCGGACGAGAAACTTTTTTGACAAGCGTATGAAAGGCTTAATGTCGAGCCCTGCCTATAGCAATGTCATCAGGATACACATACACCGGTAGGCAGTGGCCCACCTTACCGGGTGACCATGTCGTGGTCCACCAGAATTTATAGTTTACCCACCTCTTTTTTTACCAACCTCTGAATAAAACGTACGAGTCCCAGTCACGCCGAACCTCTCTTCTTCCTTCCAAACACTGAAGCTCATTACAATGGCCCTTAAAGAATGTTAAAAAATTGTAAATGGCCCTTGATAGGAAAAAGGTTCCCCACCCCTGCTCTAGATCAATAATTATCAAAAAAAAGTTGAACTTTGCCCTTTGGTTCACTGTAACAGGGTCGTTTAGAAAAGGGGGCGTGTCAAAATACACTCAAAAGCCTATAAATCATAAATAAAAACTCAGAACTTCACAAAAATTTATGAGCACATGTGTCATAACATGGTGAAGAAGCATGCAGAGTTTCATGGAGATCGGACCATAGGTGGCGCTATAACTGTCAAAAAGGTCCCCTATTATTAGGTGTTCAAGCACGAAGTGCTGAAAACCTATTGTAATTGCTATTTGAAAAACAACAACAACCTAAAACGCATCGTGCAGCCCAAACCGTAAGGCCTAGAGACTTGAAACCTGGCCAGGTGCTAGGGCCTCAGTTTGGGGAGAACCTATCAGAGTATGACCCCGATTGGCCCATAGGTGGCGCTACAGCAACCAAAAGTGCTAAATTGCTCATAACTCCTAGACCGTTTGACTTGGAATCAAGCTTTTTGCACCACTGTGTTCCTTGGCTCAAGACGGACAAGGTGTATATCTCGGATTCTTGATTTGAGCAAAAAAGAAATTGTTATGGCCAATTTTGTCCAAAACCTACTTTTGCGAACTAGTCCCTGGTTTTTTCCTTGATCGGAACCAGACCAGTCTAGGACAATTCTATGGACTCTCTAGATCAATAATTATAAAAAAAAAAGTTGAGCCATACTTTAAAACCATACATTTCCTATGGTAAATTGCCTGTATTGGCTGTAAATGGTCTTTTCCATCTATGATCGTATAATTTTCATATCTTAATGTTTAAAACCAGTGCAGTACAATTATCTGGACTCTCTAGATCAATAATTATCAGAAAAGGTATAATTACTTCATTTGGATGGCTATAATAGAGTGTAAATCGGATGGCTATAACAGCTATAACAGCTTGGATGGCTATAACAGCCAATAAGTGGTATTTTACTGCCCCCTGCTGTCATTTCATCATACTACTCTCTAATATTTTTATATATAATTGATATTTAGACTTTATTAAATCATTATTTTAACATTTACAATCACATTTTGTCAAAATTCATCTATTGCTCTGTACTCTCTAGAACAATAATTATAGGAAAATGTATAACTTCTTCATTTGGATGACTATAATAGGGTCACTTCAATATGTAGCCTTGAGCGAAAGCCAATATCTTTTCAATAAATGCTCATAGCTTCTTAAAAAAAGGTCAAGAACAGCTATAACAGCTTGAAAAAGGCTAACAGCCAATAAGTGGTATTTTACTGCCCCCTGCTGTTTAAAAAAAGTCATTTTGTCACACTACTCAACTATAATTAATATTTAGACTTTATAAATTCACTATTTTAACATTTACAATAACATTTAGTCAAAAATCGTCTATTGAAGTGACAATTGAGTCACATTGGCTCCTGAAGTTCCAAATGTCTCTATCTACATCAGAATGAGCGTGTGTAGATTAAATTATATTAAAAACATGGCCTATTGTATAAGTAGGCTGTAATAGCACTGTTGTCCACTAAATGGAGCAGCAGCATTAGAAATTTTTTATCTTTTTTATCAGCTTTCAGCATTGGCTAACAAACAAATGCTTAAAGCATTTTCTTTAATTAGTTTTATATTATTACATTGCAAAGAAATATGTGAAATGCTCATATACCATTAAAACAGATTTTCACAATAACATATCCCAAAAATGTGTGTGTGTGTGTGTGTGTGTGTGTAAGCATGCATTATGGAGTTAACATGAAAAAAATGGTTTGCTTCAGTGGAGAATACTGGAGAAACAAAGTAGTTGAAAATGAAAGTGAGCCAATAAGTGGTCTTCTACTGCCCTCTGCTGGCCACTCTTCTTATTAATAGTCTTTTCACATGTGCTTTTGCATTCATATGTATATAGACACTAAAAAATCACTTATATAACAATTACTATTATAACAAATTCATATTTTGTCAGAGTTTATCACTTCAATTGTTCTTATGCTTCACATAATTGCTATCAACGTGGTAAATCTTGGTAAATAACGCCAGAAACATGGTAAATCATAGTAAAAAAGGTAAATCATGCTAGAATCCTGGTAAATTATTCTAGAATGTGCTATATCATGGTAAATCATCATCTAACATGGTATATCGAGGTAAACCATGGAAAATCATGTTAGATTCATGGTAAATCATACTGGAACATGGTAAATCATGAAAAATCACACTGAAATGTAGTATATCATGGTAAATCATGCTTGCTACATAAAACTTAATGTCTTTTAAAGCTTTTGTGCTTAACGGCCTTAAAGGCCTTAACTGCTTGAACACCGCTAAATGCTGCTTGCAGCTTTAATATATTATTATTTTTCCACAAGAGGTCGGCAAAGACACCCAATGCAAGATATTTTGAGCTGAATTAAAAGGTTTAGGCATGCGAGTTATTTTGAATTTTAGTTGAAAGAATGTGAGGAATGTGCTTAAATTACCAAATTACTATTTATTGATTATTTATTGATTAAATCTAGTAATTTAAATCGTAATCTTAAATTACTAAATTACTATTTATTGATTTATTTATTTATTATTTATTGATTAAATCCAAGGGGGTAATCCATCGACCGGAAGTTGAAGCCGGCCGGGTGCCGCCATGTTGTAGCAGAACTTCACTTGCGTTAGCATTTCCATTGACTCCCATTCATTTTGGCGTCACTTTGACAGCGAATAACTTTACATCTGAGGCGTTTAAAGACTCCATTTGTCCATTATTTATTTCTAAAGAAACACGACAATGTATAAAGGGCTCCATTACCTTCTATGTTACATTATGGCCCCGTAGAAACAGATTTAGTAAAAATAGGCTAACGATTGCGTCATAACCACTCGACTCTCTGTCGCGCTGTACAGAAATTACCGTACAGACAGGAGGAGAAGCTCGCAGGCAATCGGGGGGACGTCCCGTCAAGGGAGAAGCCCATAGATAATGAGTCCATAAAAGCAACGGAATACTTACTCCTGCTCACTCACGCCAAAGAACTCTTTGCTCAAGTTCCCCGTCTCTGCAAGATTAACGTTGGCAGTTTTCACGCACAGCTACTAGAAGATTTACATCTGTCAGACAGGTTGCTCACGTCATCAAGCTTAGTTTGAGTCGGTCTGAGTCTGCCCGTCAGGAACGGAAGTTCTCAAAAATCGCTAAAAGTGGGCTTCAACTGTCTCAACTGAGTTCCAATGAGATCGCTCTGTCCATTTCTTTTACTGTCTATGAATAAATCTAGTAATTTAAAGGTAAATAAAATAACTAAAATAACAAAAAAATGACATTAGAAAATTGAAAAAAATATGATCAAAATGAAATAAAATAAGCTTTATGGACAAAAAAAAAATCAAGTATAAATTTAGGGCTTCGGCTCATTGACCCTCGAGGGAAGGATGAAGGTTTAAGCAACACCAAGGAACTTTTCCTCTGCGGTCGCCCTACAGGTTGGAAGCGGAATTGTCCTCATTAGAACTACTGAAACGCGACCTGATCTGGCAAACTTACATAGCGTGGATATACCAGATAAAGGACCGCAAAGCGGTGGCATAAGTGCATTTCACCATGTCACGACTTGATGAACCACTGAAATGATTTTGAAACATTATTTGAAGGTAAAAAATCCTACTTAGTGTTGCTTTAATGCTAAAACAGCTTGCCATACAGGAAGTTTCTTCTCACAGATCATTTCCCTCTTAAACAGTTAAAGGCCTCCCAAGGTATATGAATGCAAGTGCAATACTCCCACTGTTTAGTGCAATATCTTTGTAAATTCATATTATTTACAATACTGTAAATGTGTTTTTTTCTGACTAAACCTATCTGTGTCTTTATACTTTTTTTATGTTTTATTCTTAAAATTGATTGTGTCTTCTTGTTGTATTTATAAGTGTGCACTGCAAGATTCAAAACCAAGGTAGATTCCCTGTTGGTACAAGCACACTTTAAATAAAGCTCTTTCCGACTTTGATTCTGAACTTGAGCGACTACACCCACCGTATGCAAAATGGATGTGAAGTGACATCACGATTCTCCCGATTTCTGATTCTCCATTTGATCTCTGATTGATTCTCCATTTCATGATCCCTTTAAATAAGAGATTCAGGATTGAAAACCACTGCTCGAGATAAAGGTCACTTACTCTATTCTTCTCAGCGGCCCATAATATCAGTTCAGTTGGAGTGTCTTGTAATTTAAGCTCCTGTTGCTGATACCATTCCTCAGTGTGGCAGGTTTCATCTTCATCATCATCTCCTTCCTCCTCGTCCACCCAGCCACTCTTTGTCCCCACTGGAATCATGTGGCCATGAGACTCCAGCAGGTCAAGCTGGTTAAAGCCTTCTGGAAACTCCATCACTGAGCGAGAGAGAAGTGAGATATGAGATGTGACACCCAAAAAGTAACATCATTTGGAATTGGACCCTTTTAAAGCATGGCAGAAAGAGAAGTAAACAGCCTGATTGACAAAAATGATCAAACAAACAAAACGTTTTTTATTAACTTAGTAAATATAGGGTTCCCAAGTTTATCAATAATTACAGACAAACATTTGGTGCTTATAAACATTGTTTAAATCGTTTAGATGTCCATTTCATGTTTATGATATTGCTAGAAAAATAATTAATTCGAATAAGGACTATAGACGTACATTGGTTTTCCATGATTTAACATCCGATACCATAATTGTATCATGGTGCTCTCAGTATGTACCTTCTTATTTAGTGGCTGGCTGACAAATCACTTTATATCAGCTTTATATCGATGTTACTCTCCCTTTAAACAATTTACTCTTATTTAAACTAGTAAACACTTGCTTTTCATTGAATGACATGCATTTTCCACAAAACTCACCGATGACCAGCTGTGTTCACGTTGAGCACACCATTATATTACCAAAATGACTGTGTTATTCTATAATCTTTGCTATTACTCACTTCTACTTCTTCTTCTTCTTCTTTTTATGGCGGTTGGTAAACCAGTTTAAGGTGCACTTCCGCCACCTACTGGGAAGGGAGTGTGAAGCCTCGATAAACGAAAGGAAAAAAATAAAGGAAATAAAAAGAAAAGGAAAAAAACGAAATCTTTCTAATAAACTCTGTATCTCTTAAATATTTTAGAAGAAAATCATACACCATTAACTGTTTCTGTGCATTCTGAAATGTATTATTAACTGTAATGACATTTATTTCCATATCTCTTAATTTTTCAACACGATGATTTCTTTCTCTAATGGTGCGGTCACACATATACAGAAAACGCGAATATTGCGTCTGGCGCGAGTGATTTCAATGTTAAATCAATGTAATACGCAGCTTGTTTTGACGCTGGGAAATATAGTTTTTTGTGCGGCCAATTCGCTTGCACCGACTGAATGTTTAAACTACATTTCCCAGGACACCCAGGAAAAAAGCTTCCCGCGAGTGTAAGTGTGTGACTTCTTCTTCCGCGGTGGGAGGAGAAGATTGCTTGCATGTGAACGATTGTCTTCTGAGGAGCTGTTGAATTCTTTTGATAGGTAAAGTTATTTTTCTTTTGCTTTGATTTGTTAATGAACAAATCCCATCTAAAACACTTAGCAGCAGCTTTGTTTAGTAAAGTTTTTATAATCAAATCTGTTCTGTCTGTAATCAATTCTGTGTGAACAACACGCATGTTTAGGAGCCGACTGTGGCATGCATAACGTTATATTATGGCATGCTCAGTTTGTAAACGTTCTCTGCATAAGCATATAGGTATAATAACTAAATCTGTAGATCAACATCATCAACATATTTAGATCTGTCTTTTGTTTCCCTACTTCATCATCATTTTCAGTGTGTCAGTGCAGTTCTCTCAGTATGACATCAGCTGGAAACACCATGTGAGTACATTTATTTGGTAGAAATTAATTTTTGTAAACTTTTGTTTAGTTATACCTAGAAAAATAACAACAGGGATCAACTGGTTGATTGACAAGTGATTGTGACACTTAAATTCATCTAGCTTTGTTCACATGATGGCTCAAAAGTAAATGAAAATGTCTGGAACCACATAAACTGTAGGTCTGATGATTGCCGATTAAGTTTTTATTCCTACAGCTCTAAATCTGTATAGTTTATTGTAGCTGTCATGACACTACAATTCATTTACAAGACCATTTTAATAGTTTTCTGTTTCAATGTTCCTCTTGAATGTTGTAATGTGGGGTTTTTTTGCGTTTTTTTTTTTTAGTGATGATGAGGACACATTCAAGATCCTCATTGCCACTGACATTCACCTAGGTTATCTGGAGAAGGATGCCATTAGAGGAAATGACACGTTTGTGACCTTTGACGAGATCATGAAACAAGCTGTGCAAAATGAGGTGGGAATTAAAGAATGGGTACATATATTGTTTGAGACTTGGAGGTGATTTTATATTAATTACATATGAAATTATTTCACAAACTTACAAAAATCACCCAACACCAATATTCAGAATCTAAAGCCTCTTTCACACAGAGCGTTGATGCCAGAAAATTGCCATAGAAGTGCTATATTGCCTTCTGTGTGAACACAAACATGTTCCAGCATTGATCCCAGAATGGGGACCTAGTAACATTGCTGGGATCAGTCCCGGAACGTGTCCCGTGTGAATTCATCCGCTATATTGCTAAATATCCGATTTTTCATAGCAACAGACAAATATACCAGGAAACCCGACTTGTCATGACTCCACTGCTTCAGAGCGGTTATAGTTAATGATATGCTAAAGATCGCCCGCATGTTGATCTGATTGGTTACAACAAGGTAGTTTGTGACGTCAGAAACACCAGCGATTTCAAACCGTGTTTTTGAGACTGTCTTTGGTTCACTGGACTTTTAAAAAGAAAATATTTATCAATGGTGTTGACATAAATTTACATATGGTTTGTCTTAAAGCATATTAAAAACACCACATAGACGTATAAACAACATTAAAAACTTGATTTCCACCACAGGGGGTCTTTAAAGTCTCTACTAACGAGTTGAATCAGGTGTGTTTGATTAGGGAGACAGTTAGGAGTACTCCAGGACCAGGGTTGGGTTGGTTAAATTCAAATTCAATAATTATTTTGGAATTTTAAAGCTGCAGTCCGCAGTTTTTCCTTTTCGTTGCCATCTCTGTTCGAAATCTGCAATTGCAGTTATTCGCGGAATTATCAACTTAACATGAGTTGTAGTTCGACACCCTCGACACAGCACATAACACAATGTTTGAGGAGAGTGTGCAGCTGTCAGTCACCGCGCCGGTGTGGATACTGGCATTCAGAATCACAGATTATTCTTTTTGGAAGTATGACCAACATAATAATTTTTACCGGAAAATGTCATCTGAACAAGTAAGTAACATCCACTTTTGTTCTGGTTCTGACATTGCAGTAAATCGCGCTGATTAAATCTAAAAATCGCTTATCATATCATGCAAAACCGTGCAAATTATACTTTGTTCTCAAATTGTTAATGTTAACAACGTCAGCATTGCGTGACTACATGTAATGTCCTTCCGATATTATCCTTGTTTTCGCATGGGTCCGGTTGTAGTCTCTTTTTTTCTGTAGCCAATCCGAAGTCCGAACGAAGTCTTTTGCATTTTACATTTGACAGACAATCTGTTGTCTTTGGTGATTGTCGTTTGAACCTTTCTAGATCCGCCATCAAATTGATAAGTTTAATTATATCAAGTGCTGTGAGAAAAGGCTATAAATCTCCACCTCCAACATCCTCACACGCAATATAGCCTACTAGCCGAGACTCCTTCTTTATGTGTACAGGTGTGTGTGTACAGATGTGACGTAATGACGCAAAGACATGCTCGAATCTCCCGCGGAAATCCACTAGTACCACTGGAATATAAAAACATTATTACAAACTTAAAGTAACAGCCGGTAACTTTTCAACCTTCATAATATACTTCCACGTCTCTTGTGATGGTACATCGACTTACAATAGGTTGAATGACACGTCTGCCATAGCCTGACGGGGTCTGTAGCGTTTTTAATCGTACTTTTAAACTTCGGGTTTCGGGTAGTAACCGGCGCACAAAGAGAACTACAAAATTCCACTGATTTACGGCATATACGTCACTTCCACCACCACCCCCGCTTCCTTAAAATCGGACGTGCGAGCCAAATGTTATAGTCATGGCTGAAGCAGCACAGAAAAACAAGAAAGCAAAGGTTTTATCGGAGCAAAGCAAAAAGAGAAAAAGAGAAAGTGATCGGGTTAAAGGCAGAACGAGGATCAACATTGGGCCAGCATTTTCTCGCTGGCGTGAGCTGAAGGAGGAGGAGGGGTGCCCGACCGATGCGGACTTGGCAAAAAAAAAAAAAAAATCAAATGAAAGCCTATGTCTAAACGGCGTGCACAAGTTTGGTAGGGGCTACATTCTTGCAAGTAAATATATAAGATGTACAAAATCATATTTAAGGATACCTAACATGTCTGTGATATTTGTTTATTTGTCTTGCCTCAAGCTATAATGCAAATCGATTTGTAAAATTTGCAGATTCATTTATGGTAGCTTGATATTATAATATTGACGATATATGGTTATTATCTACCACTCAAACATTGCATTGAAGTATCATATAGATTCAGTTACTAGGCTACTATAATGACGCTGGCTTGTAAACGTGATCATCGCGATCATTTGTCGTTAGAAAAAAAATAAAACCCATGAAATTATATTCATATGAGATGCTGAAATATATGCCACTGTACCTGGGATGAAGACATTTCACACAAGACGCAAGCAGAACACCTGCATGTGACCTCCTCCTACAGTGTTCAGGGCTATCATGGTTGTCAACAATTGCACGTGCATGTAGGATGACAGAGTTTACGACAGTAGTAGAGGTCTAGAGGACAATACTGTTTCCCAACTGTAGGGGGACCCCACCCTGAGAGCAAAAGTAACCTGGTGTTACTTTAATAAATACATTATTAATAAAGCTTTGCTACGGCAAGCAGAGAGTTTTGAACACTGGCTGGTTATGTATTTTCTCAAATATGTATTTTGGATCATTTTTAACCCAAAAAAAAGCTACGGACTGCAGCTTTAAAAAATGATTCTCAATTCTGATTCACGCACAACCCTGATTCATAGATGTCTCTCTGCACAGATGCATGGATCTGTATAATGTGCAGTATACACTCTATGCTTTTTCTCCTTCAACTGACATTTGTTTTTCATAGTGCTTCTCTCTTTTTCTCTCAGGTTGACTTTGTTTTGCTGGGTGGGGATCTGTTCCATGACAATAAGCCATCCCGCAAAACTATGCATAGCTGCATGGAGGTGATGAGGAAGTATTGCATGGGTGACCGGCCGATCGTCTTTGAAATCATCAGTGATCAGGCTGTCAATTTCAGCCACAGCAAGTAAGACTCAAGCTTTTT